ATTTCACCTAAACAACATCAAAAGACTGCAAGATTATTCAAGAACAATAATAAAAATCACTACCGCATTGCAGAGCGGAATGAGCTGAACAGCTGGATGCAAACTTTTATACCTCATGCTGGCATAGCAACACCCACAGGAACACATAAACTCATCTCAGCGACACCAAAGCCACAATGATATCATATGGCAACCAACTGTCTAAGTTTTGTCTGGTATTTTAGGAGGAATGTGAAAAAATGTTTTCCATCTTTTAATTTTGTCCATTAGTGTATATACACACACACATTGACCGTATTTATTTGCAAATAAAAAAAAAAAGGCTTTGCAATATTGATGGTGTAGAATCGTCACCACTGGAAAAACAAGGCCTCGACACTGCGATCGTGACGTCATTAGTAGCGCATAAAGAAACAAACGGGCTAGCAGCTTCTAGGGAGCGCGAATTTTCTTCAAAAATTAGACGTTTCATTGTTTATTCCCCAAAATAAAAAATAGTGTAAGTAAATAAAATACGTAAAAAAATTAAATTTAGGTGAATTTTCGCTTTATGCGTGAACATTTCAAGGGCATTTAAAGGACTGGCACATTATGGTTTCCATACATTTTTTGCATGTCGACCAATAAGTTCCTTTTGGTTTTACTGTAAGAATGGCAATATGTATATTATTTTCCCCTTGAATGCCAAAAACATCTACTTTCAACTTTGTATTAGCGCCGAAACAAAGTTCGTTTGCTGTATGTTTAAAATATGTGGTTATATCTAAATCTAAACATGCATGTAGATGAACACACTCATGTCCTTTGACATAATCATGACAAGAAAAAACTTCAAGCAACAGATCATCTAAAGGAAGTGTTACATTATGGTGGTGATGACATGGAAAGCTCAGATATTTAATCGCCTATATTTTGACTGACTAAAATTTACCCATTTTTCTTATATGAAATATTATACAGGATAACAAAAATTTATTTTATTGATTTAATTATAAAATTTTTCTTAAATATTAAAACATATTCAAAATGATGCCATAATCAAAATTAGAAGCTGTATAAAATTTAATAAATATAATTTTTGATATATATTTACACTTACTATTATTGACATGCTATATAGAATAACTAAAGCAACAAGTTTTTAAGCAGTAACATGTGAAATGTAAGTAAAAATAGGTTAGCAATATAATAAAAAGTGATGTATTGTGAATAATGTTTGTTTACAGCATTTCATACTTTTGAAAGCAATTAAACGAAAATTGATTTTAGCAAAAGTAGTGGTACATTATAATTCATGAGGATATCCTAAATTATTTTCTAGCATATAAGTGTAAATTACATTGAGATTAACAACATTTGAAATATGATAGGAGGTGATGTATCTTGTGTTATGTTTATTTACATAGCATACCATATAAAATTAATTATATTGAATTCAGAAAGAACTTATAAATAGAATAATAATGTGAAAGCATTTATAAGTTATTGTCTAACATATGAAATGTAATGATAAGTGACATTCATGCACTACATTTGTCTACAGAATGTGACACAACATATAAAATTAATTCTGTTGAAACCAATTGTGCAAAAACAAGAGAACCCAGGAAAAGCTAGTGAATATATAATGGCATACTACAATATAAAAGCATTTATAAGTCAGTTTTCAAGTTATGCAACTAGGAGAAATTCTTTATATTCAGTTTCCATGCATTTATGATCTTCGAAAATTTTGGGTATTTAAAATGTTCCTTGCATTTTAATTTTTATCAAATTGTTTCCACATTAAATTTATAAGATTCTAATACTGTTCATAAGAGATTTGTCAATGCATTTTATCATTGATAAACATTTACAGGAATTATTAGGCTTTTCATAAAATAATTTAAAATGATGAGTAACATTTTCTGCATTGTTCATGTGTACACAACATAACATATAATCTGATTTTACTGAAAGCAGTAAAATTGATTGTTTTGAAACCAGCTGAACAGAAATTGAACTGAGAAAAAGCTAATAAATGTATTAATTATGTATTTCAATGTAAAAGTATTTTTAAGCTATTTTTTATGCATTTAAGATTTTGGAAAGTTATAGGTATTTAAAATATATTTGCATTTTAATTTTTATCAGATTGTTTTCACACTAAATTTATATGATTCGGATACTATTTAAGAAGTTTTTTATGATGAATTATTATCGATTTACTTTTAAATTTTAAGTTGCTTTGGAATTATTCGCAGTATTTGTTGGAACACATGGCCTTGATAAGCAATTTAATAGCATAGAAAATATTCTATGTTTCATAAAAAAAAAAAAAAAAAAAAAAAAAAAAAAAAAAAAAATTTTACATAGCTTAATTCTTAAATATCTGTTTCCATTCAAGCATTATTTATTCAAAACATTGCAAGTTTTTAGCATAATAATTAGTAACTAGACATAAGTATAATATAAATAATGAAGTTTTGAACTTTGAATATTAGACTCAAGATCAGTTCATAAGTAAGTCAAGCAAAAAAAATACAAAATTACTTTCAAAATTATTGTTTCACAATCATATAAAATACGTTTAATTTATAATCTGCATAGCTTGATATTAAAAAAAAATACACTAAATTTTCTTTAAAAATATTTTATTTAATGCACTGCAGCTTTTCAGAGCAATGAATAATAATTACATTTTATATACATATGTAATATAGATCATACAGTTTCCCACAATCATTATTCCTCATACTTTATATGCAAAAAATAATAGCATAAAAGTCTTTCATTTATAAAATGTATAATCTGCATAGCTTAAATATTTTAAAAACAATGCATACAATTTCCTTTAATCATTAATTATACAAAATGATATAAATTTTTAGCAAATTGAACAGGAATTTTCTTATGGGATGAAATTTAGGGATTCAGTAATAATAACACTTTTATTTCTCACCAAACAATAATCATATCATACCTTAGAATGTTTTGATTGGGTGAAATTCTGCCGGTATATAGTATGTAGCCATTTTCTGCACAATAAATCCGATTTGGGGGGGGGGGAGAAACTGGATTTTTTTCAATATTTGAATAATATCCTCTGCAGTTAGGAACACGAGTATAAACCATTCTTAAAGTTTATTAGCAAATGAAATATTAAAAAATCTTTTATGCAATATACAAATTTCCCGCTAAAACTACAAGCATGCTTGCACGTTACCACCGAAACAAGCCATGGTTTGTTATGCCTACTAGTTCCCTCTCTAGTGACGTCACTCGCAGCAGAAGGGAGGCCTTGTTCCGGTGGTGACAATAAAATGTAGAAAGTTGAATCCATGATGAAGAACAAGAATTTTGATGGCAGAGAATGCTGAAATGGTGATTCAAAATGAATAGGAAACTGGCAGCCGAGGCAGATTAAATCTTCGTTTTATTTCAGTAAACATGTTATATATACCCACTAGGTTTCTAGGAGATTTTAAATCAAACATTAATATATAAATCCAAATCAAATTTTAGCCTTTTAAAATCCATCTATATTTGCACAATTATAAAATACACATAAACCTTATAGGCATGAAAACTCCTTCATGTGGTGAAACTGAAAACTGAACTTACCTCAAACAATTGAAAAAGGTCTTGAAGCAGATTCTTCTTTAAAATATGTTTAAAAGCACACTATTTTCTAAGCATAATATCACAAATGTGAATATGATAGGTATATTTATGTTATTGTTTAGCAGGTTTTTTTTTTTTTTTTTTTTTTTTTTGTTTACCACTTTTTTAAATACCAGAAATACTTGAACAAAGTATACACGAGAGATATATTTTTTCTTAAATTTGCAGAGTCATTAGGCTGTTTTGAAGTAGGAAATGCGTAAAATTTACAATGCCCTCGCCAGTACTCGAACTTAGATTTCTCAAATACGTGCTGAGCATGCTAACCATTACACTAGAAGTCATGCAGAAAGAAGGTACAAAATACCTTATATACTCTCCCTTTTAAAAGGCGACTTAGGGAGTATGGGATCCAATCGCCCAAACCTTGATGGTGAAGAATCATCGTCCACCACCTTTCTTAGTTTGGGAGCCACTGTAAAGACATTTATCTTTTTTTTATGCGAGAGATGTGAAAAATGAGTAGTGCATTTACCGGGACTCTTGAATACTGGAAACCTGGACCTCTTGAATATGCGCAAGTGTGCTAAAAGTGACAACACAAAGGCATGCTGGAAGGAGGGAGATAACACCTTATAAATTAGTTTGATCCCCTCATTGTTGAATATTTGCTGTTTAGAGAGTGAAATGTTACCTCACCATAGATGATAGCTTTGCTTAAGGGAATTTATGAGTTAATTTCTAAATGCAATATTAACATCATTGGAATATGTGCATACAAAATGATATTTATGGACCAAAGGCACATCTCTGGTATGATACAAAAACATCAAATTTTTTCCATCATTGTTATGTACTTTCAGATCCAAATATTCAGAAAATTGCATTTTTTAGACTTATTTTTGTTCCTTTAATTTATAAATTTGCTGAGATGAAATATTTAATAAAACACATGTTTGTTGAGCCATCCAGCCGGTACAGTGATTAGTGATCCTGACTGCCGTAGCAATGGGTCCAAGTCGAATCGCGGTGAAGACATTATTGTAACTGTCCGTCCCCTTCAAAGAAGGCAATGTTAGCCATCTATTAGGTGCTTTCATAATGAAATGGCCACCACTTCTGGCCCTTGTAGTGGCACAAGGCTAGCTATTAAATAAAGCATCTGGCCATTACAGAAAAGTAAATGTTTGTTTTTTGATACACAGAATTATTTACATTGCATATTTATCTAATGCTTTGATATTTACTTCAGAAAATCATTTCAAAATTCTGAATATTATAATTTTTCAATAAACAACAAGAGATGTATAAGCCAGTGCCACAGAACTAAAATATCTGCAACTAAATTATAAATATTCCTGTCCTCTAACAGAAATTAATAATTAAAAATAACTTACACTTCAACAAGCATTGGATATTTAGTAATCTCATACTCTTGTAATGTAGGTGGTAAAAAGAGACGTACATTAGCATCTAAAAAGTGAAAAGATTACAGACAATCAAATTTTTGTAAAAGAGCTTTTGGTATGAAAATAAATACTTTCTGTTAATACAATAACACACACATTTTTTCTAGTTAGTAATATATCCATTCTTGGCCTGTACAGAAAAAAAAAAAAAAAAAGTAAAAATACAAGATATAAAGTACTAAAAGAATTTTAAAAAATTACCAAGGGAAATTACTCGTTCTTAGTGTTAAAATATAAGATAATATGCACACACAATTTTTTTTTTTTTTTTTTTTTTAAAGTTTACTCAGATTCAGATAAATGCAATAAATAGATAATTACTTTAGCTAACAAAATATTTTTGTTCATAACAGATTGATTAAATTTTAAACATAAATGAAAGATCTCGTGCTTTGTTGAATAGCATAATGCTGCTTTGTGCATAGCAGATTTTCAGAAAATGGAAAATCTGCTATGCAGAAGGCAGCATAGACATTAATCAAAGATCTTAACTTTAGTTAAATGTATATAAAGTACAAACTGATGCAGTTTTTATAGACAGGTTAAATAAGTTATGTGTACTTTGTAAAAAAATAATTTTACCATGCAGATTTGACAATTTCATGCATCTAATTTCAGGTTATTTACACAAATAATGAAATTCCTTTTAGATCTATATATATTCTAAAAGTGAATACAAATGAAAGTTTCATTAGTTACTTTTTATTACCCTCATTAGGAATTTTATGTCTTTAGGTTCTATATTCTGACCCCTGTTAAGAGACGGTCTTTACATTATATAGTAGATTCCTAATTAATCAGAACAACACTGGGAATGATGTTTACAATTAACCTATAATCACGGTTTTAATCTGCCAGCAGTTTAGAAAAAAAGAGGATAACTCATATTAGAGTTAGTGGAAAAATGATATTAACCTGTATTTTTAAGCAGTTTGATTTGGAAAATAAGTTAATACGATTATGCAAATGAAATCAGCATTTAAAACAACAACAAATTTAAACACAAAGAACAATGTGTTATCTTTTATCTGACTCATCAAAAATGCCACATGTTTTACTACCTTTAGTTTATTATAGGAACTAATTACTTACATATGTACATCCAGCTGTATGCTGGGGAATTATAACACACTGATATTACATTTATTCACGTTCTTTTGTCTAGTGCTTCTTAATTTTGCATTCTTTAACAGTGGCTTTTGCACTATGCCATCTCTCAGTGGATTGCAACTATTTTCCTGTTTACTAACTAGTCTTGCATTTCAATAGGAGTTGAAAGGAAATAGCAGATTAATAGCTGTACACTTATTTTTATGATTTAGCAGTTTATTTTTAATAAATGATTTAACAATGCTTATATATTCCAAATTATATACAATTATATTATATACTGTTGTAGACATTTATCTGCTATCACTGTTATTTTTACACATATTTTTCACTCTTTTTTTCTTCCCACAGAAATTTTGCTTTATTCTGACTGTCTGTTAAGAGTAATTCTTCCATCATTCTGCAATGAACAAGCTTAACATGTTTTTTAAGATATGGCCTGATTCATCAGGAGTTGACTGTAGTTTCTGGTTAGCATAAGTTGACCAAAAAAAAATTTTTAGAACCTCTCTTTTATTGCATGCAACATTTGAATTTAAATTAAAAGCTGAATAGATAAAGCAGAATTCAAACATGTTACTTATTTTTGTTCACTTAATTAAAGCAGTTAGTACCTTTTATAACAGACTCTGCACAATAGAATTCCCAAATTATACCTTAGATATATACATTGAGATAATAAAATACAGATGTATACAAATGAATGAAAATGAAATATCTGATTTATATTTGATGCATTTGACAAAAGTCATAAGAATAAAAACTTTTTAAAATCTTAAATTTTAGTAATATAAATTCAATAAACTTACAATAGTTTCCATCAATAGGCACTTTTAGATTTTTAATTTTTGGCATGGCTCTTTTATCTACTAAGTTTCTCAAATCATCATTTGTTTCCAAAATCGATACTGAAAATAAGCACAGACATATGAATTTCAAAATGTAAATTATATCACGAAATATTACAAAAACATAAAAATCATGCAGTTCATTATTAATTTTAATATTTACCACATGATCTTTGTAACTACAGTGTCATACATGTTTGGATAATATTAGATATGCTTCTAAAAATACTCAATCTGGCCACAAAGAACATGAAATAGCAAATGCATAGTGACTAAATTTGAGAAGCATGGTGAATAATAATAATAATAATAAAAACACAGTTAACATGAAGTTCAAATGAAATAAAATGCTCTAGACTGACAGGTTAAAATCATGTTTAAATATTAGTAAAGCAGGAGCTTTTGCAGATGACCCTTTTGCTTCATCATTGGGAACTGAAATGAATGGTGTGATCAAGTTTGTCTTCTTTTATTGTTGCTTCCCACAGGGTTCATTGGACTAGGGCTTCCGTATGTCGCAGGATTGATGATTGGACACATGATATATCTAAAGCAAGATCTTGGTTGCAACAAGGTTTAATGGTGATTTCTAGTGGTTGTCTGATTTTAAGGTTGCTTTTAAGCCAGGGTTTGCTGATGATTTCGCTCAGTCCCATTCAGTTATTGAGTTCAGATGCTTCAAGAAGTACTTAACCCAAAAGTGTATTATTATTACTGGTTTATTAGTTGGCAGAGAGTTTGTAATATCTTCTTTCTGCCTCACAATTCATATTGACAGTTTTCTTGATATTGAACAGATATATTGAGTTTCTGTATTTGTATTTTTATCACATTTAGAGATAGTATACATACCTAATTTGTCTATTGTGCTACCATCTAATTTTTTCCATTCTTAACAGTTTCCAAATGAATGAGTAAGTTTGTATCCAAATCTTTTGATATTAATTCTAAATGGTCATGACAAGTTTATGTCCAAATCTTTTGAAAATAAAGCAGATGCATGAGGATAATTCGAGAATATTCCAATTAATTTATTTCCATTTGGTTGAGTAGCTTATCTATTCCTTTTCTTGATAAGTTTTTCAAAAAATGTTGAGAGGGTTTGTATTGTTTGCTATAGTCTGAAAGTCATACAGAGTTTCTACAGTCTTCAGAGTACAGTCATAGTTATACTCCTTTTCATAAAGTTCAGGTGTGGAGCAGAATTTTTTAGTTCTAATACTGTACTCTGAAGAAGGTTGCCAATTCTAAGACCAGGAGATTAAGAAACTGAATACTGTTATTAACTTCTCTATATTAATCAAACTTATAGGTTAGGGAAGTTTGCAGAGATAAAAGAAAACAGTATTCTGAATTTCAAACTCATGAAGCATGGATTTAATAGGTCAACCTAGAACATTTTTATTCATTTTCATTTCTGCAAAACGTAATTAAATCCATAACAAGAAGAAAGAACATTGCAAAGAATTGAATAATTACTTAACTAATTACTTACATAAATTAACACTTTATTTAAAACATTAATGTACAATTTTGTTACATACTGAAAAACCATTACTCAAAAATAACGCATTTTAATGAGTCACTTTACAAATTTTGTTACTTCAGTTTCATATAAATGCAATAAAAACAGATCTGTATGAAGAATGATATGGAATGGCTGATCAAATATAAATCAATATAATGAATCATAGCAAATTTTTTTTTTTTTTTTCTTTTTTTTTTTCTTTTTTTTTTTTTTTTTAGGGGAGGGATTTATCAAATTTTTTAAGAGAAAACTGGATGGAAAAATGACATATTTTTTTAAATTCACTTTCAAGATAAATAATTTTCAGCAAAAATTTTTACAGTCAAAAGTCGTTAATCCGGACTCGTCGGGACTTCGGCGATTCCGGAATATCGATCATCAGTTTAAATCTCGTAAGATGGCATGCAGAAATTCTAAAATTAAAAATATGAAACCGTAATTTATGAAATAAAGAACAATTATGATCTAAAGGGTATCAAAATTTACAAAAAAAAAAAAAAGCTTAATATTTATTTGTTTACTTTATTAAACATTTATTTCAATGTAAGTTGTTTAAGTTGCTTCGTTTTATGTGATAATACTTTCTCTTTAATTCTATAAACAGACATAATTTCTTGTTCAGTTACAAAGTTTCGCTGTTCAAGTCCCGTAATTGCTGTGCCGAGAATACCGACTAACTTGTCAATCGAAATTTTTTCGTTTTCACTAACCTCTCTGTCACCTTCTTCACTATCGGAAGCAAATTATAATGACTAGGAATTTGATTTAAATCATATCAAAGACGGAATACATCGAGATGAAATACTACATTTAGTAAGGAATTATAAGCCAAATAAAAGGTAAACATCTGCCCTGAAGATAAGGATAGTGCTGCAGCAATTCCACCTTTTTTTTTGATGGACATCGAAACATACTTTCATTTTGTAGATTTGGGAGCTCCAGCATCGGAAATTCTATTTGACATAATCGAAAGTTCAAGTTTACTTTTATAAAATTGCTCTTGTCTGCAAAAAATAATAAGCCGGATCCAATTCGAAGATTAAGGAACAACGCAATCATCAACATTAACTGAAATAGATAATTAGATAATCTGAGCTTATACCGTCCGTTATACATAAAGTGCGCACGCGAAAACGTATTCTGTGCTTGCGCACACGCATATGCGCAGTCGTAAAGGTCTTACATGCACGCGTAAACGTCTATGCGCATGTGTCAACGCGGCACATGTGCAGAAAGTTTTTAGCTTTGAGGTCCGGATTATAGATCATTCCGGATTATGGGTGCCCGAATTAACGACTTTTGACTGTATAATGCATGTATCAGAACTAAAGAGAGGGGAACCCTGAACAAGGAAAACAAAAGCAAAATAAATTTTCAATAATCCAAATGCAAAGAAAAATAAATAAAAATGAAAAATCACATCCAAACAGAATAGCCTGATGAGCTAATGCTTACTATAATTATTAATAGTGAAGCTACAGGAAAATTCACAGATTTTCAAGTTGCATGGGTTATTGGTATCCTTCATTGCTGCCCATTTCAAGAATCAGTTATACTATACATTGCCATGAAAGTTCATTTTGAAATGTTTTAGCAGTACGAGTCCATACATGAATTCCATGAAATCCCTCAAGCAATAGCAATTATACATGAGTTCACCCTTCCCCAAAAATATTTATTATATACTATGAGTTTACACATGCATTCAATACTACAGATGCTAGCATGTTTGAGTATATATATAATAACATAACATAACATTTGTGGCGCTTCCCTCTTATGAAAAGAGCTTAGGCAATGTTGCCCACCATTTGCTCTTCCACCATTTGATCATTTAAGTCAAAGGTTTTAAATGGTAACTCCCGTGAAAGATAAATAATAAATAAGTAGATAAGATCTCAAAGTGACACCAAAAATGTATAGTATCAGCAAAAGATCCCATCTCTAAATTCAGGGTGTTGGTTAAATCATTAAAACTTCCCAATTGGATGAAGAGCCGATTCAATCCCTCCCAAACCACCAAACGCAACTCTTGACCAAACAAGGGTGCAACAGTGAGTATAAAAAATTAATTAATTAATTAATTAAGGAGAGCAGAGGTATTTTCTTAAGCCAAATGGCCAGGTGGTGTATATTTGATATCTATTTCCAAATTATATTCCAAAACACAGCTATCAGAAGGAAATCCCTGCATAGTTTCTTTTACATAAAAAGAAAAAAAAAAGAAAAAAAAAAAAAACCTCACAGGGTGTCTTAATGCTTGTTTCTTGTGGTTTCAAATTCACCTTACCTGTAGGTGTTTAGTATACATCAGGAACCCTATTATGCCAGAGAGCCCTTTGTTTAGAAGGGCTTGATCAAAGCTAATATAGGGAAACCCAAGGAATTATTTCTAGGGACAGAAAACAGCGAACATCGCACCAGAAAGTGAAAAGGTGTTTCTTCTTCTTCTCCACAAGCTGGGCAGAGAGGAAATTCGACAAGACCACATTTGTGGAGATGCTTGGCCAGATAAGCATATCCGGTAACGATTTGAATTACCTGGTGTAAGTTAGTTCTACTGAGGTGTATGAGTTTACCTGATAAGTTAAGTGTACTGAGCACCAATTTAGAATGAGCACAGTCTGGTAGTTTAGACCATATATCATCATGTTTGTTCTTTATCCAGCTTCTTACTTTTTTAACAGTTTGATATGAAACAGGGTAAAATGATTCTGGGCTAGACATGGGTTGTTGCGAAGCATCTTTAGCTACTTTGTCAGTTAGTTTATTTCCAGCAAAATCACAATACCTGGGAACCAGACTAAACTGATGGTTTTATGGGCCTGAGCCAGAGAATTGAGATCTTGAGTACAGTTCAAAACACAGTTTTGTAACTTGACACAATTAGCCAGGACAAGGATGGCTGATTGGCTGTCAGAGAGAATATATATATTCTTATCAACTGTATTTTTAGCTAAGAGCTCCCTGGGGACCATATTGATCGCCAGAACCTCGGCTTGGAAAACAGTTGTTAGATTACCAAGGTATAGATGAAATCTAATGATCTTCTTCAGATCCCTTGGTTCTTATAATAGCTCCAGCTCTGGTGAAGTTGGATTTTGACCCATCTGTGTAACATTCAATTGATCCTGTTGGGATTAGGTCAGTTAGAGATTCTATCTCACTCCTTTTTGGTATATAAGTTGAGAATAGTTTATCTGGAACTACTGTTTTAGTAATTGCATCCTTGGGCATATAGTAGACTATAGGGATCTCATTGCCCAAGTTCAGGCATATGTCAATGTAGCTTTTATGACTGAAACCTGTCCTTTGGCACCATGTGCCATTTTTATTCAACCTATACATGGCCTTAATTGCTTCTCTGTTTAATAATAATTTCAAGGTTGGAATTTGCAATAAAAATTCTAATGTAGCAGTAGGGGTACTGTTTAAAGCCCCACTAATGCATAGGCAAGCAAGTCTTTGCACCTTTTGTAAAATGTTTAAATATGTGCTTTTCTTAATCACATTGATCCAGACCATGTATCCG